GCGGCATACGATAAATTCAGAACCAAAATGGAAAGTGCTAGAGGCCTGTCTATATAAAAATCAGGGTAAAAGCTTTGTTGCAACTCGAGCTCTAATAAAAAGAACTCTACCCTGTTACCTCAAATTTTGCGTAAGTGACAATTTTCGCAAGTGGTAGAGAGGGCATCAATCATTAGTCGAAGCTCCGACATCCGTGCAGACGGCTGGCTCCATACCTGCACACACAAGATTCAATTCGCTGTCCCATTTGTTGAAAACTAGAGACAAGCCTGTCAGTATCAGCAAAATCATGAAACTTGCACACGCAAAGTAACAACACATAAGACAGCTGTCAGATGTGCTAACACTAACTGGCCTACACCAAAACTGCAGCTATCTGTTGGCGCAAACAGCCAATTACCAAGCCAGCACTGCACCCGAGCAGCTGCTGGCCGAACGGTTAGAACGCTGGGCTTTTAAGCGGGAGACACGGGTTCGAATCCTTGGTAAGGCTGGGGATTTTTTTTTTCTGTCGGGGGCAAAATAAAATTGACACCTGCACAGTCTGTGGCGAAAGCACATGCCATGAGGCCGTAAATCCTCATTCTCAAAGACCCCCCCCCCCCCCAAAAGACCCCCCCCCCTTCTACATTGCAAAAGTGGTATAATAAAGCCAGTAGTTAGCAGTTTGAAGTGTATGCCAGTCTGAACGCAGTCGCCCGCCCACTGTTTTAGTGCAGTCAACAACACGTCGCAGGCACAACAGAAAACGCAGGTGGCAGATTGGGTATTGAAATTCAGGGGTGCCAATTAGAGAAAAGTGGTGATGAGTTCAGACCCCTTATAGATTTATGGGGTGCCGGGGGGGGGGGGGGGAGGGACTTACGCCTTGTTTAAATGTGTTATAATAATTGTAATAACAGTTAGGCAGACAAGGAAAACAAATTAAATATTTGAAATAAAAAAACACATATTTGAACAGAGAACGTCTCCACATGATTAAGGAGGGAATGTGGGGGGGGGGGGGCCACCTTGCCTGCTTGTATATTAGGTAGGGGGGGGGGGGCAAGCCCCCTCCCTATAATTAAAGTGAGGGACATATTGATATAGCCTCCAGATTCCGAATTTAAAAAAAAAAGTTAAAATGCCTTTTTCACGCCTTTAGGCGCATCGGGTATATGCGAAGAGCACCAATATTTTTTTTTTACAGATTATCGGCACTAGGTGGGTAATGTGGTCAGCATTACGCCGGCCGCTTTACTGTCCCGGGACATACACCCTGGTACCCATTTATGCTAGGTCGACCTGCGACGTCCCATAAAAAAAGTAAAGTAAAGGACCCTTTCCACGCCCTTAGGCGTATAGGGCATATAGGGCTAGACCTATATTTTTATAGACTAACGGCACAAGATGGGTGATGTGGTCAGCATCACGCCGGCCGCCTCTACTTCCCGGGATTGCACCCGGTACCCACTCAAGGCTGGGTCGACCTGGGAGCCACGACGTCCCATACCATGATAAAAATCAACGCAGCCAGCAATGGGTTTCGATCGCCGTACGTTGGAATTACGATTCGGACTCGCAACGCCTCAGCCACGGACGCCCCAGATTCGGAAAAGATACAGTTTAATATTGCAGGCAATATGTTATGCAATGTATTCTTTGTGTCTGTAATTTTGGCCGGAACGTTCGGTGTCATTTGCGTGCAAACATTTGGTGATTCAGCTAGAGACCCGCCTGCGAGTCCCAAGGTTGTGGGTTTAGATCTTGACGGAGAGCCAAGACTTTTTTTGTGTGAAAAGAGAATGCTTTTGGCTCCCAGGTCGACCCAGCTTATGTTGGTACCAGGAAAAGTGTTGGGAAGTAAAAGCGGCTTGTGTCATATTGAATACTTCAGCTACCGACTGGATACTACAGGTCTAGCCCTATTTGCCCAGTACACTACGCATGACATTCGTTTCACCCTACCTTCAGCTCCTTGTTATATCGCCATAGTTTAGTTTTATTCAGGGGACCTCATTTAGACCTGTGGGACCGGGGGTGGGAGGGGGGGGGTGGGTATGTTTTCGCTTACAAACATGTCGTTCAAAGAGGATTAATTAACTGTTGCGTTGAAATATGATGTGCCGGTAGGATAGGAAAGACGCAGATATCGCAGCCTAGCTGTAAATCACATCACAACGAGCTAACCTCACTTTTAAAAACAACGCAGAAGAAAAAGAAGTAGAAGAAGATATTGATGATAGTAATAATTGTAGTTGTAGTAGTAGCAGCAGCAGCACTAGCAGTAGAAGCAGGAGTAGCAGCAGCAGCAGCAGTGGTAATAATAGCAGCAGCAGCAGTAGTAGTAGTAGCAGAAAGCAGCAGTAATAGTATTAGCAGCAGTAATTTCAACAAGAGCAGCTATAGAAGTAGCAGCAGTAGTATCAGCAAGAGCAGTAATAGTAGAAGCGACAGCAGTAATAGCAGTAAGAACAGCAGTAGCAGCAGGGAATTTGTAATTAGTTAAATTACTTCTTGAGCATTTTGCCTTTTTACACTAACTATACGTTTGCGTTTTACACCCAACGTTGTCTTTCCTGTAAACTCGAGCATTAATTCAAACTGTACATATGTTGCAACGTCCGCGCCCAAATTAGACTCTTTTCCGGGCAAAACCCCTAACGCATCTAGACGCTGGCAAACTTTGTTATGACAGTTTCAGACAGTGAAATTGTTTATGTTATTTCCACGCCAGTCTGCATTGTAATTCTTGACTTATCAACAACATCCTTCCCATTCTCGTGGGAAATTACGGAAATGAAAAGTAAACTTCTTGGAAATATCCGGGGAAAGGTTAGCCAATCTGGAATCACGGGATAAAGGCGTCCCTCATAAGAGCAATAACTTTGGCTCCTGGATGCTTTGAAAACAAATACTCAATCTTTCATTCGTGACAAAGGAGAGATGGGTGCTCGTCCGTTAGGTTTATATAGTTGAGCATTGCTGAAGTGATGTATGATGTATTTTTATTCTTGCCTCTCTTTATTTCTTTCGACAGGCTCTGGGATTTTTTCAGATTATACGGAAACATAAAATGTCTTCTTTATTATTTATGTTATGGTAGTAGTGCTCGTAAAAAAGTAAATTAGTTCTTGTTTTTATTAAGTGTTGTACTATTGGTCCACATATGGGAAGCAACTTTTCGTTATTTGAAGCCCCAACCTGGCTTTTGCCGGGGGCCCTAAGTATAGCCGGGCTATAAATATGGCCTAGCGGCTAAAGGGGGTCTCTGGGACCTCTCCAGTGGTGATCCTTATCCGCATGGTGGCACTTTGTGTGATGTCCTAGTGGGATACAACTTACATACATACATTCCTGTTTTCATCAAATGCATTTAAACAAATTTACATTACGTTTTGACAACAGGATAGAGCTGCCGACTTTACGTACCTACATAACTTGTTATGTCTCGCTGGTCTGTCTGTCCTACTATGACTAGCTTTGATTTGGCACCTTTCCGTCTTTCCAGACGCTCCTGTAATATTGCGCTATGAGGAATCATGAGCTCACAGCCCATGGCGATGGCGAGTGTGACTAGCAAGACCCGCCAGTGTCAAGAAAAGTTGTCCACAATGATAGCATGGGATTTCAGAACCATTGTTGTCAACATTTGTGTTTAATCCGTTTCTTTTCAGACGCTCAGCTCTCATGCTTTCTGCAATCTTTTCTTCCGCCACTCTCATTCCCTTCCTGATATGCCCTTTCCACATAAATCGGTCCATGGCATTTTGTTCACATGAGTCCACCTCAATACCTGTTAGTCTGCCTAGTTGCTTATCAATCTATCTACGTCTCAGTCTATCCATTTGTCTCTCTGTCTGCCTTCCTGTCTATTTGTTGGTCTATTCATCCTTCTCTACCCATGCTGGTATATACATATTTATATCTGCCTGTCTGCCTACACGTGTGTCTGTCCATCTATTCATCTGTCTGTTTGCTTGCCTCTTTATATGTCTGCCAATGTGCTGGTATGTTCAACTGTTTGTCGACAATAACACATTCCTAGGCTAATGCTGCTGTTTCTGCTACTTCTACTACTATTACAACAACAGCTACTACTACTACAACTACTATTATTATTGCTGCTACTACTAATACTACTACTTTTATTACTACTACTGCTGCTACTTATACTGCTACTAATGCCACCACTACTACTAACTACGACTGTCACTACTACTACTTCAGCTACTACCACCACAATCATTACCGCTGCTACACTTACTACTACTATTACTGCTACTACTACTGCTTCTAATACTGCTACTACTACTTCAGCTACTACCACCACAATCATTACCGCTGCTACACTTACTACTACTATTACTGCTACTACTGCTGCTTCTAATACTACTTCTACTACTACTACTACTACTACTACTACTTCAGCTACTACAACCACAATCATTACCGCTGCTACACTTACTACTACTATTACTGCTACTACTGCTGCTTCTAATACTGCTACTACTACTTCAGCTACTACCACCACAATCATTACCGCTGCTGCACTTACTACTACTATTACTGCTACTACTACTGCTTCTAATACTGCTACTACTACTTCAGCTACTACCACCACAATCATTACCGCTGCTACACTTACTACTACTATTACTGCTACTACTGCTGCTTCTAATACTACTTTTACTACTACTACTACTACTACTACTACTACTACTACTACTACTACTACTACTACTACTACTACTACTACTACTACTACTACTACTACTACTACTACTACTACTTCAGCTACTACCACCACAATCATTACCGCTGCTGCACTTACTACTACTATTAGTGCTACTACTACTGCTTCTAATACTACTACTACTACTAACACCACCACAGCCGCTACTACTACCGCTACCACCACCACAACCCTTTCCGCCACTACTATTACAACCATCATACCACACCACTATCACCACCACTACCAGCACTACGATCGACCTATCTACTATTACTTTGTGTAGGATTACTTGGATGCCACCAGGGAGCAGCCCGGAGTCCACTCGCTGCCCCAGGGGATAGAGTACTACGAAGCCTGCCTCAAGTGGTACCTGGGATACGATGTCACGGCCAATGAGGTGTTTGAACTGGGTGTCAAAGAAGTGGCTCGGATTGAGAAGAAGATTAAAGAGGTAAGTTTCACTACACAAACAGTAGTTGATGATTCGTTTATCTTGTCTCTCGTCGAAGCATTACACCATCTGTGATAGCTTTACTCCGTGTGCTTAAATTAACAATATATTTGTATTAAATAAAGCCTTTGTTATTTAAATTGCACCCAATAACCAATGCACTAATGCTTATGTTAAAACTGAAATAACATTAGAAAATGAGACTTGAATGAACTGAATAAAAAATACATCTTGAAACTCATCGCAACTCAAATCAATTATTGATTGTTTATTCACAGGTGATGTCCAGTGTTGGGTTCGATGGCGACCTCAAATCATTCTTTAAATTTGTAGAAAACATTCCGAAATTTTACAACCATACTAAGGTGACCATTGTCCAGCCAGTATGAGGCATCGTGTTTTAATCTGTCCAGTCGGTCAGATGTGTCTGTCTGTCTGTTCCTGTCTGTTTGTCTGTGTGTCTGACTGATTATTTATTTGCTAATCTAGTGTCTATTTGTCTACTTGCTGGTTGGTTATGTCAACAAGATATTTTATGGTGATACCTTGTTGTTGTTATTGTTGTTGTTGTTGATGATAATGATGATATTGATGTTGTTGTTTTTTGTTGTTGTTCTTCTTCTGCTTCTTCTATTTCTTCTTCTTCTTCTTCTTCTTCTTCTTCTTCTTCTTCTTCTTCTTCTTCTTCTTCTTCTTCTTCTTCTTCTTCTTCTTCTTCTTCTTCTTCTTCTTCTTCTTCTTCTCTTCTTCTTCTTCTCCTCCTCCTCCTTTTTCTTCTTCTTCTTCTTCTTCTTCTTCTTCTTCTTCTTCTTCTTCTTCTTCTTCTTCTTCTTCTTCTTCTTCTTCTTCTTCTTCTTCTTCTTCTTCTTCTTCCTCTTCTTCTTCTTCTTCTTCTTCTTCTTCTTCTTCTTCTTCTTCTTCTTCTTCTTCTTCTTCTTCTTCTTCTTCTTCTTCTTCTTCTTCTTTTTCTTCATCTTCTTCTTCTTCTTCTTCTTCTTCTTCTTCTTCTTCTTCTTCTTCTTCTTCTTCTTCTTCTTCTTCTTCTTCTTCTTCTTCTTCTTCTTCTTCTTCTTCTTCTTCTTCTTCTTCTTCTTCTTCTTCTTCATCTTCTTCTTCTTCTTCTTCTTCTTCTTCTTCTTCTTCTTCTTCTTCTTCTTCTTCTTCTTCTTCTTTTTCTTCTTCTTCTTTTTCTTCCTCATTCTCCTCCTCCTCCTCATCATCATCTTTATTACTACCTTTTTCTTCCACTTTTTCTAATTATTATCCGACCCCTTCTCCTCTTCCTCTCCTTCGCCCTTAAATTTGTAATGGGGTTTATACTTAGGCACCAATATCTGCATCTTTCGTCTCAACACTTCCGATTTCCACAACGCCTTAATAAGGCGCTTTGACCATATCGTTGTTTCTAGTTAATGTTACAATTACGTCCTTTTCAGGACGTAATTTTTTGTTATTTGAAGCCCCACTCTGGCTTTTGCCAGGGGCCGCAATATAGGCAGGCCATAAATATGGCCAATTGTCTGAACGCGGTTACCGGGACCTCTCCACGGTGATCCTCACCCACATGGTGGCACTTTGTGTCATCGGGTGTTTATCGCTTGTGTGAAGTCCTGGTGTGGTAAAAATTCATTCATTCATTCATATCGTTGTTAACAGTGGGGCTATTCTACAAGCACTCCATCCCTCACCAATATCCCCCTTTCCCAATCGTGGCCTGAAGACTCCATTGGAGGTATAACAGTATAACAGCTGTGTCCCTTCCCTCTGTATGCCTGATTGTGTGTTCAACCGTTGGCTTGTCAGCCACCTTAACAAACTACCGATCTCTCACCATGTGTTCTAAAAAGGAAAGTCCAAGTAAAATCAATGCCCGAAATGCTATGGGCGAATCGATCAATCTTCTCCCAGGACGGGAAAACCCCCAAAATAAATAGCTGTGCACTTTTGTTCCCGCTAGGAAAGGAAAAGCAACTTTAAAAAGCGATCAAAATAAATCACAATTGACGAATGAGGAAAAGGATAACACGCACAGATGAATACAGCCCATCAGAATGGGGAGCCCTTTTTTCTGCCTGCGGATAATCGTGGACGTATCTAAAAGTGTTGGAGCTTGCGTGATGGCAGCAGAAAGATCATTGAAATGGTCCGAAAAGGGAGAAGGGAACTGTGTAGCTAGCCTATGATAATTAACTTGAATGTGTGTGGAATAGAGTGGGGTACTTATCTAAGGCAGAGGGTATTATTTCGGTTGTGTGTGTTTTACAATTTCTTCTTTGCCTCAATGTTACAAGGTGGTTTCAACATTTATCCTCTCTCTCTCTCTCTCTCTCTCTCTCTCTCTCTCTCTCTCTCTCTCTCTCTCTCTCTCTCTCTCTCTCTCTCTCTTTCTGCGTTGTTGTGTGTGTGTGTTCTAAAATGTATTCTTTGTATCGATTTTACAAGGTGGTTTCGACATTTATTTTCCTTTCTCTCTCTCTCTCTCTCTCTCTCTCTCTCTCTCTCTCTCTCTCTCTCTCTCTGCGTGGTTGTGTGTGAGTGTGTGTTTGTGTTCTACAATTTCTTCTTTGTCTCGATGTTACAAGGTGGTTTCTACATTTATTCCCTCTACCCCTCTCTCTCTGTCTCTCTGCGTGGTTGTGTGTGTGTGTGAGTGTGTGTTTTACAATTTCTTCTTTGTCTCGATGTTACAATGTGGTTTCTACATTTATTCCCTCTCTTCCTCTCTCTCCCTCTCTCTACCTCCATCTCTCTCCCTCTCCCTCTCTCCCTCTTTTTCTACACCCCTTTCGCTTCCTCTCTCTCTCCCTCTCCCTCCATCCTCCTCTCTCTCTCCCTCTTTCTCTCCCTTCCTCTCTGTCCCTCTCTCTCAATCTCCCTCTCTCCCTTTTTCTATACCTCCCTCTCTCCCATTGTCCCTCTCCCTCTCTCCCTTTTTCTCCCTCATTCCCTCCCTCCCTCTCTCTCTCTCTCTCTCTCTCTCTCTCTCTCTCTCTCTCTCTCTCTCTCTCAACACAAGTAGTTAATGCAGAAGTGAAAGCATTGGTGTAGGAACACACAAGATGCTGATGTATATGCACATGGTTCTGTGATTTGTCAGAAGCGACATGAATGGGCTTTCACGGCAAGAACCAAAAGAAAAGTCATCAAAGAAGACAGTGGAGCCTTTGCTTCTACCACCAGCAGCATGACAATGGAGCTCATGGCTGTGGCAAAGGTCCTAGAATGGCCGAAAACTCAGGAGTTCACCAAAATACATTTGCTAAGCGACTCAGTCAGCATGCTACAGACGATCAAGGCGGGGTACATACGGAAACAGTGGCTCAATCTGATACCGCACGCAACCTTTTGCAAAGTCACCATAATTTTTGTCTCAGGGTATGCTGGTGTGAAAAGCAATGAGAGAGTAGATGCTCTGGCCGGCAGTACGACTATCAGAAATGGGTCCTCTAAGGACAGGAAAGACATCATCAATGCCATACGAGAGACTAAACGCTATGAAGCTTTCGCCTGGCCAAATCAGAGAGAGATAACACTGAGAAGAAACACTAAAAAAAAAAAAAAAGGGAAGAAACGCACAGCTAACTACAGGGTGGAGGACGAGCGGTCTGACTCGAATCGAGGCATCAAGCCCAGAAATGGCGCAAACACTAGAATTTAGTCACGAAAGTGACACAAATATAGGCGGAGACTGTTAGCAGCCTCGGCTAGCTAGCAGCAGTCTGAAAGTGGTCGACCTTTTCATTTTTTTTCTCAAAAGGACTTGGACGATGAAGCTTTCAGTTTCTTGGACATTGACTTTTCACTGAATAGACTGCATACCCTGGGTGTACCAGCTGGAGCAGCGGGACAGGAAATCCACCCGGGAGCCACCCGTCGTTACACCACCCAGAACAGAATGGGAGTTGTTAGCCTAAAAACACTTGGAGACATACTCACGAGGAGATCGGTGCTCTTATGGTCATTTCCAATGTGCGATGAAGATAATCTCTAACATGAACTATGAACTATGACCTAGATTCCTGCTCACAACGCTTAACGGCAAAAGTTAAAATTATTGATGATGATGATGAAAAATTTACGGTTCCACATTTTATGCATGTTTTTAAAAATCTGTTCTTTCCTTACCAATGCGTATTATGATTTTTTTCTGTTAAGTGACCACATCACACGTGATTTAGGGACATCCCATATTATAAGGGGGAAATGTGGGAGAGGGGGGGGGGGGGGGGGTTAGTTAAAAAAAAAGTAAAGATCCCTTTCCACGCCTTTAGGCGCATCGGGCATTTGGGAAGAGCGCCCATATTTTTACAGACAATCAGAACTCGGTGGTCAGCATTACGCCGGCTGTCTTTACTTTCCCAGGACATCCCATCCTGGTACCCATTTTAGACTGGGTCGACCTGCGATGTCCCATACCATGATAAAAACACGCAGCCAGTAGTGGGTTTCGATCGCGGTACGAGTCGGACTCGCAACGCCTAAGCCACGGACGCCAGTGGGGGTTTCGAGTTAATGTTAAATGAATAGCGGCTACTACTGACCCTACCCTTCCTTAAATCTTGCTTGAGTTGTCGCTAAACAGAAAGGAACCCGTGTTTTAATTCCATTCTTTGGTTTGTTGATCACAGGAACAAATCTTGGAGAAGTACCGCGCCATGTTGGATGATCAGATAATCCCTCGCTTGGAGAGTATGTTCTACAACGTTTCCATAGCACCAGTCACGTGAGTGTAATCATCATCATCGTGTGCGCGGGAGATACCTCTACAACAGAGGTTCTCAAACTTTCTGCAACCCTTTAATACAGTTCCCTCATGTTGTGGCGACCCTTTAATACAGTTCCTTCATGTTGTGGCGACCCTTTAATACAGTTCCCTCATGTTGTGGCGACCCTTTAATACAGTTCCTTCATGTTGTGGCGACCCTTTAATACAGTTCCCTCATGTTGTGGCGACCCCCAAAACACTTTTTTTTTAAACTTAACGTTTTGAGGTTTTGAACAACGGATCAATATCATGGCCAAAAAAACTCAGCCCAGTGCACAGACTCTGTAGCACCGGTGAGGATCCTGAAATACTTTAGGTAGTTTTTAACTCCAAATTTTGTCAGGGCAGCGCCGTTAGGCTACTCTTTTCGATTTCCAACTGTCAAGAGACTTTTTTTTTAACGTCACAACAATGCACACGGGCGCCCGATCTCACTACCCAGAGACCAGGGGGGAATTACTAGAAGTCCCAGCCCTCACCGGAGATTGAACCCGAAACCTTTAGCACTCGAGGCGGACAAGATACCTCGAACCACGCGTCTCCCCCCCCCCCCCTTTTCCCACCCTACCTTTCTTCATTACGTAAATGAATATGTGTTTTCCGACGGTCTTAGGCGACCCATGAGAGAGGGTGGTTCGACTCAAAAAGGGTCGCGACCGGCAGGTTGAAAAACGCTGCTCTATAGTGTCTACAGTCATGGTTGCTGGGGTGTAAAACATGGGGAGCGGGGGCGGAGAGGGCAGAGGCCTCACCCTTTATTTTGATAGAGGGTATGGTGGCTCAGAAGGGGTTAAATGTTGTTACAGCCCGCAGTAATAACAATAATAAAAAAACATATTCATTGTTATATGTATTAAAAAGCAAATACATATGACATAATATGTTGGGGAGAAATATGATACGTATAAACACCCACTTAACTCTGTCAGTCCCACACGGTTATGCCTTTAACCCCTCCTATCTCACAGAGTTCAGCAGAGACAGGATTGGTTAAACTTGCAATATAGACACATCATCATTAGGTGCCTTGCTGACTGTCGTGGGCGATCACGCCTCTCCACAATCCGCAGCATGTATCAGTTTGTGTGCTGACACACCTCCATGCCGTGCAATAAAACTGTCAAGAATCTTCTCTCGTTGTCTTCCTCTATCTCTCCTTCCACAGATCTTTCCAGTGGTCACAACATGTTCAGTTTTCCCTCTTCTCATAACATGGCCGAAAAAATGATGACTGTCTCCTTCTGATGTTTGTGATTAGTTGTCTTCGGGCTCACGCCTCTTTCAAAACCTCTTGGTGGCTCTTTTTGGCTGTCCAAGATGTTGTCCGTCCAAAGTAGTAATCATCAATGATTATGAGTACAAAGGTGGCTGATTAGTCCAGTGTGAGCCCGGAAAGTTCTTGAGCAGTGCAGACAACAAACAGATGGAAGCCGCAGTAAGTGTGGGATTAGCAGTACGATTCTTTCTAGTCCGCCTCCGTTTCTCTGCCTGTGTAACCTCCGCTGCCTGGCAGGCCGATGCACCATGACTGAGGGACGTACGCAACCCAGAACGGTCTTGTGCAGCAGCCTCCCACATCACTGTGTTGATGCCAGAAGAATTAAGAACAGTCTTGAGTGTCCTTATAGCGCTTTTTATGTCCTCCCTGGGACCTCTTCCCCTGGAGCTTGCCGTAAGATACTCTAGTCCAAGGTATAGACAGGGATGTTGATAATACATCTTTCTGTGAGAGAAAGGTAGCTACGTGGTCTCGAGGTATGGTGTCCGCCTTGACTGCTGGTGGTTCCAGGTTCAATCTCCAGTAAGGGCTGGGATTTTTTTTCACGTGGACTTGGACGTTCAGCCATTCCCCCTGGTCTCTGGGTAGTTGCGCACGTAAAAAAATCCCTTGGCAGTTAAAAATGGAAAAGAGTAGCCTAACGCGGCTGCCCGGGAAAAATTTGGAATTAAAAATCTACCTACAAAATGTATTTCAGGATCCTCGCCGGTGCTACATAGCCTGTGCACTGTGCTGAGCTTTTTCAAACACAGACTTGAGTTAGAAGTAGTACGGAGCACTTATGGGTTACTACCCTTGTGCCATGTTGTTGGTCCGTTGTTCAAACCTCAAACCTCTGTGAGAGAAGAGAGCACGGACACTGCCTTGAACTTAGACTTACAAGAACGTATGGTGAGTTGATCGGTACAGAAAGAATTCAAAAGAGAACTGGTATGCTTGGTTGGGGGAGGGGTGGGGGGGGGGGGGCGTTTTAAGGCCCTTGCAAATTTGATAAAGGGGGCCCAGGGGCTAGGCTTGCCCCATTTAAGGAATTTTTTTTTGGGGGGGAGGGGAAATTAAAAAGAAAGGGTTAGGGGGAAAGGCTAAGGTGTCTGAACAACCAGTTCCGGCGTCACTGTCTACAGTTAGCTGCTCTGTGTTATGTCATGTTATTACAATCAAGGCAACAGCACACTGGGCATTCCCAGGTGTGCTCAGTCTCCTAATGCAGTAGCCACCCTGGGGATACCTCTGCTGATTGTCCCCATGCGAGGTTGCTTAAAAATAGAGCTTTTTCGGAGGGTACGAAACGGTGCGCACCACTGACACCTTTCATAAAGCAAACATTTTTCAGCGCTACTGTAATAGACACCTTGTGCTTCCTACGGCACCTTTCACTAGATACCTTATGCTGTGTACCGGTACCCTTTTCTTTCTATAAAAAAAAAAAAAAATGGTTAGAATGCTTCCTTTCTTCACATGGGGGACGGCATAGATGGACTTAATGACCCGATGAGTCGTATCTCTGATACTAGTCTAGCGTGACAGATCCAGTAGACCCCATTTAATATCATATAAAATGTCTAAGTAATAAGAGCACCCTTAATGTCTAAATCAGTTACAGAAGGATTAGGAGAAGAAGGTGAAAAAGAAGCAAAAGACCTCTCCCTTTCTGTCCCCCCCCCCCTGTTTCGCCCTCTCTATGTCTCTCTCCTCCTCTCTGTCTCTCTCTCTCACATTCTATTATCAAACTGTCTCTCGTTTTCTCTCTGTCTCTCTCTCTCTCTCACACAGTCTATTATATTATCCCTCTCTCTGTCTCTCTCATCCTCTCTGTCTCTCTCTCACATTCTATTATCTCATCCCTCTGTATGTCTCTCGTTTTCTCTCTCTCTCTCTCTCTCTCTCTCTTTCACACAATCTATTATCTTATTCCTCTCTCTGTCTCTCCTCCTCTCTGTCTCTCTGGCTCTCTCACATTCTGCTATCTTATCCCTCTCTCTGTCTCTCTCTCACATTCTATTATCTCATCCCTCTCTCTCTCGTTCTCTATCTGTCTGTCTCTCATATTTTTTGTATCTCATCCTTCTCTCTGTCTCTCGTTCTCTCTATGTCTTCCTCTCTCTCTCTCTCTCATATTCTATTATATCATCCCTCTCTCTGTCTCGCTCTCTCTCTCTGTCTCTCACATTCTATTATCTCAACACTCTCTCTGTCTCTCCCCCATCTCTCTTTCTTTCTATCTTTCTCTCTCTCTGTTTCTCTCTTACATTCTATCATCTCATCCCTGTCTCTGTCTCTCTCTCTGTCTGTCTCTGTCTCTCTCTGTCTCTGTCTCTGTTTCTCTCTAGCATTCTTGTACTTCTCCCTCTCTTTTTATTTCCCCTGTGTCTATCTTTCTCTCTCTATGTCTCTGTCTCTTACATTCTGCCTCGTCTCTCTCTCTCTCTCTCTCTCTCTCTCTCTCTCTCTCTCTCATCTCTCTCTCTCTCTAATCTCTCACCTAAAAAAATATAAATCTTCCTCCCCCTACCCCCTTTTTCCCCCACCTCAATCACTACCCTCCTTATCTCCCCTGTTTTTCACATGCACACGACCTAGTGCACAGATGTCGCTGGGTGGATCGAAAACCCATCTGTCCACTTAATAGATTGCACCAGTTATCTGGCAACCCGATCCATCTTCAAACAACATCACGATGTTTGTCTTGGGGGATCCAGCCAAGATAGATGGCAGTAGCGGAAAGAAGGGAACTTGCTAATTCTTCTTCTTTTCTTCTTCTGCCTTCTGTCCTTCAATGGAACATAGGCCCCCAACCAAATCAACCCCTGTCGTTCTACCCTTCACTATTGCATACAGCTCACCCTGTATCCTTCACTCTGTAGTTTTATTCTCCAATTGTTTTCAGTCTGTCTTTATTTCGATGCCCGTGTTGATTCTAGAGCAAAGACATTCTAGTTATATTGTTCTCAGGATTTTTCAGCGTGTGTCCTATCCAACGTCAGCGTCTTTTCCTCACCTGTTTGTCCACTGGAATTTGTTTTCTATTATAAAAAAATTGATTATAAATAAAACTGTTGACAAGGAAAAAAAGTATCACATCAGAGTTACAGCGTGAAATCTTGCTCTGCGCTCGCCTTTTATAGCGAGGTTTTGTGGTTTACAAATAGGCTGCGATATTTGCACCATTTAGTTCGCCACATCTGATTTCAGCAAAACTTTAATTAGTTGCTTTTTTACGACACGTGGCTCAGGCGTTTCGAAGGCCCCTTGTAATTCTGTGATGTTGGGTTCGATACCAGCTGCGGGCGTTTTGGCAGCCACCGCTTTGCGTTGGTTTCAGCAGTGGTATAAAGAGAAATTGCAAACCTATTCTTCTTTAAGTTTATGCCATGTGGCGTTGGTAGTCATGTCTATCCACAACCTTCTGTCTCGTGTACTTTTAATCAACTCTGACACAGATGATATTTCATAGTCCATGTTCGTGTGGCGTTAGTGGTCATGTCTATTTACAACCTTCTGTCTCGTGTACTTTCAATCAACTCTGACACAGATGGTCTCCCATAGTCCATGCCGTCTGGCGTTGGTAGTCATGTCTATCCACAACCTTCTGTCTCATTTACTTTCAGTCAACTCTGACACAGACGATCCTCCATGTCATGATGTCAAACTGTCCAGCATCTTTTATCTCGGTCTCCCGCTGCCTCTCCTTCCCTCCAACTTTCCTACTGTCTCAGTGTACTCCAGTTTTTTCCCCCTTTCTCATCATATAACTAAAGAATGTAGATTGTCTCTTTCTGATATGGGCTCGGAAAACTGCTGAACGAAAATTGCCTAATGAAATCGCGATCAGCTCCAGATATAAGTTCATTCAGCTTAAACCGAAATTCCCGTTTTTGTGAGGCTGGCGAGGCCGGTCGGTGGTAACAATTGTTATCCAGTAGATTTATACACAAATTGAACTGCAGTTTAATTAATTTGCAACATTTGTTATTGAATATATCTAGAGCTAGTCGTGGTTTCTCCAACGTCCTGTTAAAGATACGTAACAAACTTTTAAACTTTAACTTTGTTTTTATGACCCAGCGGTTTTATTTTTCTTCTCCCATCTCACCCCTAAACTGGGCTCTCGGAACCCACACTAGGATCCAGCATTAGTGACTTTCAACCGCACCGGGGCCGCATACCAAATGATACAACAAGGTGTCACCTTTTGGATGAGAATCCCCCCACGCACGTCCCAGAAACCCAGTTTAACCGTTAAGTTATTTTGGGGCCGCTGAGGACAGCCGGGTTAGGGCTCTAAAATAACGACAAAATTGCGTCCTATGTTGGGGAAATTAGTCAGATCTGTAAAGCAGATGTGCGCGCAACACTCAGGTTCTGGGACAAGACTAAAGTTCAGAAGTGGACGAACAACCAAAACTTTCCGCAGGAGTTTACAGCCAGTGAATGTGAAGAAGAAAAAGAAGAAGAAGAATAAGTAGTAGAAGAAGAAAAAGGAGGAGGAGGATGAGAAGAAGTAGAAGAAGAAGAAGTTGAAGAAGAAAAAGAAGAAGAAGAAGTTGAAGAAGAAAAAGAAGAAGAAGAAGAAGAAGAAGAAGAAGAAGAAAAAGAAGAAGAAGAAGAAGAAGAAGAAGAAGAAGAAGAAGAAGAAGAAGAAGAAGAAGAAGAAGAAGAAGAAGAAGAAGAAGAAGAAGAAGAAGAAGAAGAAGAAGAAGAAGAAGAAGAAGAAGAAGAAGAAGAAGAAGAAGAAGAAATCCAGAGCCTTGTTCATTAATAAATGGAAACTAGTTGTTCCTTTCGTCAACAGAATTGTTCCCGTGGAGAGGGACGGTCCGTGGGGATCGTACGGCCTCAGTATGTTTTATGTGAATCTAAAGGAGCCGAAGAAAAGGTCAGTTTCATTGTTATGTTCTTGTGACGATACGGTTCACATGTGTCAAGAGCCTTTTGTTAATTTTCTGTCCAGGACATTCAGGTGTGCGAGGCAACGTGCAGGCTGATAGATTAGCTGCTGCCGCTCGAACGAACTACTCTGTGATAAAGCGTATGTGGGGAAGGCTCCATCACCTTCCTCTTTATCTTCATCGTTGTCGTCGTTTTCATCAAATCATCATTTTCATCATTATCATCACCGTCGTCATTATCCTTATATCATCCCCCACCCCCGTTCCGGGACCCCACTGTGGGGGAAGACAGGAATAGACCCACTGCCTCCCCTACAAGCATGTCGTAGGAGTCGATTAATTGGTGGCATCCTTCGAAGTCGGATTGCGCCTGCCTGAGAGACAAGGAACAACAACAACTCTGCAAACAAATAAGCCAGATCTGTAAAACCGATGTGCATGCGACACTTAGATTCTGGAAAAGTGTCTAAAGTCCGGAGGTGGACGAACATTCAGAATTTTCCATTAGAGATTACTTTCAGCTAGTGAACGATTAAAAAAAAAAGAGGAAGGTATAATTATTTTTGTCCTTATCATTAAATTTATTGCAATGGCGAGGCTTGAATGAAGCGGCGGTTACCAGCGCTGACACTTTTCTTTTGCAAAAGACATATGCATTTGTTTACTGCTTATTACAACCATTTACTATTTGCCAACACGCCACCAGGCAGGCAGATTGGCTGGATCTGCACCGCTGGGTGGTGAATTGATACATGACAAGATGTGGTCAAGGCTCTTTGGGAACAAGCAACGGAACCAGTAGAGATAGAAAATTATCATGGCCTGAAGAGAATGAGGCACCTGGGTGTAACCAGAGGGTCTAGCCGGCTCACTACACTCAGAGGAAAGGCAAGACGGACATATAACCAGATTGTTACCGCTACCATCAGTATTGGAACTCTGCGCTGGCTGCTGAAGATGAGGACGGCGCATGCATGGACATGCCCTGGGTGCAGTGGTATCGATTCTTGACTCAACTTAACTCTTGGTCTGCATCTCACTGAGCAGGTAAAGATTGTTACCTGTATTAACATAGCAAAAAGAATGTCACTGAATACTTACGTCACGCATACAGACACAGTAACATACGAGAGCTCTAAGTTAGTAATCAGTCTATGTTTGCTGCGCCCGCATACTCTCAACGGTGAAGCGACGAAAAGGAAAATGTCGCGTGACAGCATCTTCAGTGTAATTGTTGCCTGCTAACGCTTTCACATGCGAACTGATCACACATCCTTACTACTTAACCGTCATAAGTATGAAATCGTTATCATTATCGTACACTAATATATTATTATTATACCCCCTTTCTCAGTTTGATCATCATCACTGTTATTATCATGGTCATCATTATCAGCATCATCATTAACAAAATCATTATCATCATCACCATTATTATCATTATCATCATCATCTTTATCATCATAGTTATCATCATCTTCACTATCAACATCATTAGTATCATCAACAACATCATCATCATCTCCATCATTATCATCATCTTTATCATCACCATTATCATCATTATCATAATCATTGTCATCATCATCATTGTTATAATAATATTCAAAAAAAATTTTCATCATTATTTTCATCAGTATCATTATTATTAACATTGTTTTTATCATCATCATTATTATCGTCGTCATGATCATCATTATTTTTGTCATCGTCATCATCTTGTTAATCATCATTATCGTCATTATCATTATCATCAGCATCATTTTTATCATCATCATTATCATCTTAATAATTATTATCATCATCATCATTATCACCACCATCATCATCATCATCTTCATCATCATCCTTTAAGTGCCACATAGGGCTCGCATTAAATTCCTTCACTCCGCTTTGCCCTATCTTTGTAGTCAACAACAGAACTCCATTTTTCTCCACAGGTCGACCTTCACCATGATGCCCTTGACCCTGCATGAAGCATATCCGGGTCACCACTTCCAAGACTTGTACTCCCAGCATTTCGACATCCCCTTGTATAGGGCCCAACCGTTAAATGGCCGCCTGTACAGCGTGCCCTTTCATTTTCCTGTCTACAGTGCCTACGCGGAGGGTTGGGCATTGTACGCCGAGTTCTTAGGCCATGAACTTGGCCTATATCAGGAGCCCTTTGACCTGTAAGTGTTCAGATATGTTGTTCACAAAATGGCTACTACTGTAGTTGCTAGGGTCTTCTTCAGTCCTGGGAAGTAAAGGGGGCCGGCGTGATGCTGACCACATCACCCAGCAAGTGCCGATTGGTCATAAAATATAGGTCTAGCCCTATATGCTCTTCTTCTTCTTCTTCTCTTCCTCCTTGTACTTCGGCGGAGTGTTGGGGGGAGATGTAACATTCGTTGATGAGCTCTGTCAAAAGCACTATTAAGACTGATGTTCATTTCTGTAAGGCTGCTCTTAATGTCATCACTCCATTTTTCCGAGGTCTTCCACTCGCTTTATACCCGTTGTAACATTTTAGTGTGGCTCGCTGCGGCAGATAGTACCAGGGCATTCTTGTTAGGTGTCCAAACCACTTCATTTGTTGTTCTTTGATGACCTGTAAGACTGGCTTTATTCCTAGCATTCGTCTGAATTCGTGTATAGACTCACTACGCCAAAAGACGTGGAAAAAGAGCCTTTGCTTTTGTACGGTCTTGTTTATGTTTCCATCCTTCTTTCAAAAGTTCTTATATCGGAAGCTCAGTAATCACGAAGAAAGCTGACATGCAGTCCAGATCTCTATGTGAGCTATACGTCGCTGTCTTGATTGGAACCGATCAGATCGCATCTCTGCTAGCAGCATTCATAGGGTACATTCTCAACATTGTCCCTCATCTGTCAGTGTCATTCGGGTTTGCGGGGTAACGAACCGACTGATAGATTGGCTGTTGTCGCGCCTCTAGGCGACAAGCTACTTTATGATAAAACGGTCGTTGTGAAAGTCTCCAGTATCATATGGACAGTGCAGCAAAACAGACAAATAATCAATACGTACAACAACTCAACACAACACTTAGGGGCAACAAGGCGTCTTTTAATCATGTTGCACATTATACTGTTTGACAGAAATTGAAATGAGAATGGCCATAGGATTGCAAAGATTAAACAGCCTAAAACGTCTATGGTTAAGCACCAGCAAGGAGGTCAATAGTAGAATTTTGAGAGCAGGCATCTTCCCTGTAGCTTCATACGGATGTGAGTCGTGGACTATCTCTCAGTCCTTAAGAAAGAGAATAGGGGCTTTTCAGTTGAAATGCTATATAAAGATTCTCAGAATATCTTGGACAAAAGAAGAGGAGAAATACTGACATCTTGAAAGATCTTAAAATTAAGGAAAACTGGCTAACAAATAGCATCCTCTGAAATATTTCGGTCATATCAAACGCCATGGCGGATTGGAAACAATTATAGCAGAAAACATGATACCAGGAAGGAGGGGCAGGGGCCGACCAACACGAAGATGGGAACATGACAACTGTCTGGATAATAGAGTGTGTTTGAGACAGACAGACAGACAGATAGAGTGAAAGAGAGAGAGAGAGAGAGATAATATGTGTGGAAATGAGATAGTATTGTATGAGTGAGTGTGTGTTTTAAATAGAGAGAGAGAGAGAGAGATAGAGAGAGGGAGTAGGGAGGGAGAAAGAGGAAGAAAGAGAGAGAGAGAGAGAGAGAGAGAGAGAAAAGAGAGAGAGAGAGAGAGAGAGAGAGAGAGAGAGAGAGAGAGAGAGAGAGAGAGAGAGAAATTTTATCAATCACGTTTTTCATGTTTTTACCTACAGTTTTGGTCGCTACGTGTCGGAAATATTTCGAGCGTGTCGTCTGGTCGTTGATACAGGTATCCACGCATTTGGGTGAGTATGCATTCTGCTTGTTCTGTTTCAGGTTGATCAAACAGCGGTGGTGGAAAAGGGGGAGAAGGGGGGGGGGGCGTATATCATGCATTCGCGTGGTTCAAGATATCAAGCAACTTACTCACAGAGCATCTTGAGAAAGGTGAAAATAAGCATGCTTCATGCAGAGTGGCAAGCATCACTTCAGAGGTCCTGAGTAGTTAGCATCCTTTGGATATTTTCTCTAGGTTATCCCGGTTTGTTGGGAAATAAGCAGGTAGATAGACTGGCTGGCTCTGCACCACATGGTGGTGAATTGATGTATGACAAGCTAGATGTTGTTAGGTCCCTTTAGGAGCGAGTGAACAGTGAGGAGGCGTAGACAGATCATTACGGTCTGAGTAGAATGGCGCTGCGAGGAGTTACCAGGGGATCTGGCCGACGCTCAACACTTAGGGGAAGGATGAGACGGATATACAGTCAGACAGTTACTTTGCACCATCGGAATTAGAACTCCTCGCTTGCTGCTGAAAATGGGGACTGAGCACTTATGGGAGTGTCCTGAGTGCTGTGATGTCGATTCCTAATTCAACATTCATCATTCAACGATCTCAAGCATATCAGCATTGTTATCATCATCCTGTGTGTGCCGTTAGACGCCACATTAGGCACGCCTTCCTTCACTCTGCTCTAGTGCATACATCTTTCCTGATATCTGACGTGGAGTTCAGCCCAGCATTGTTAGCCTCTTTTAATCATGTTCTTCTCAATGTTTCCCTTGGACGTCTTCTTGTTCTCGACCCGTTTGTTTCCTATTTCAGTGCTTGTTCTGTAATTCCTTGCTCAAATCGCCTCAAAGCAATGACCCGCACATGATTGCGGGCACCAAGGGCTGGTGTAGTCGCTACGGGTGCCAGAATTAAAACCTTTTTAAAAGTCACCTGGGATGTGTCCTGTTGGTCTGCCATCAAGATTAAGATTTTTTAGTCACAGCCTAGTTAACCTTCAGGTGCAGCCGCGTGGGACAAACCGATCGATCTGTTGTAGTGATTTTATATATTATTATTTGTAATTGTATGGCTGTGTATTATGATGAATTAAGACAGGTAGAAAATGTCGACGCCGACCTCTACTACGACATAAAGACGCGTGCACGCGGGATATGAATGATACAGATATAGAGATGGACTCGTGGGTACAAAATGCCATTGACCGCGTTGTATTGAAGGGCACATCAGGAAGGAAGTGAGAATAAAATGAAGGAAGAAATGATTGCAGAAAGAATGAGAGTTGAGCGTCTGAGAAGAAACAGACTAAACACAAATATTGACAACAATGGTCCTGAAATCCCATGCTATCATTGTGGAAGACTTTTCTTGACACGGGCGGGTCTTGCTAGTCATACTCGCCATCGCCATGGGCTGTGAGTCCCATGTCTCCTCATAGCGCAATATAACACTATCGTCTGGAAAGACGGAAAGATGCCAATCAATCATCAATAATTTTTTGTGTATGTTGATGAGGTCTTTCTAGCCGCAACGTTCATATGGTCATTCTTGATTGTGGCATTGTGAAGCTAAACTGGTTATATGTTTCGATGGATTTATATTCGAAAACGTATTTGTTTACACAGGTGGTCCAGAGAGCGCGCTGTGGAGTTTCTCAGTGGCTACAGTGATTTCCCCCTCAGCCAAATCTCGGCAGAAGTGGACCGTTACATAACCGCGCCTGGCCAGGCCTGCGCTTACAAGATTGGGGAGATCAAGATTAAAAACTTGAGGGAGAAGGCAGAGAAAGCTTTGGGTAGGTACTTTCTGTTGAATTGTATTTCTTTCCTGATGATATGCTAACACCGAGTTAATTATTATCATTTCTAATGTTGTTTCATTTGTTACATGTGATAGTGAAAGTTTGAAGTTTGAACAACGGACCAACATCATGGCACACAGGTACCAACCCACAAGTGCTCCGTTCTTCTAACTCAAGCCTGAGTCCGAATACGCTCTGCACAGTGCACGAGCTTCAAAATAGAGAAAAATACGTCCCTTACGGAGACGGAGAGATTAGTTCCAGAACGCTGAAAAAGAAAACGAAGAAAGATGAAGAAGTTACGTTTTACATTCTGGTCACATTACGTTTTACATTCTGGTTACATTACGTTTTACATTCTGGTTACATTACATTTTACATTCTGGTTTATTACATTTTACATTCTAGTTACATTACGTTTTACATTCTGGTTACATTACCTTTTACATTCTAGTTACATTACGTTTTACATTCTGGTTACATTACGTTTTACATTCTGGTTACATTACATTTTACATTCTGGTTACATGACCTTTTACATTCTGGTTACATCATTTCTCGGGCTATCTTCTTCTGTTCTAGAGTGTTGTCTCAGTAGAAATGGAAGAGATAACTTCTGTGAAAAGTCACGAGTTCAGTAACAACTACAATTCGAAAAGTTAGCCAAGCTATCTAGATTTTTAGTATGTTCAAATAAAATAGAATAAGTTGAACAAATTGAAAACAACATGGAGAAAATATTACTCGATGGCTGGCTTTCAAGGGAAGTAACCAGTTACTCACAACGATTATTTATTATTTAAAATGTAAAGATAATTTCCCCTTGAATATAAGAAAAGATATTAAATCGAATGAAAAGTATATCAGCAAGCTTCACAATATGACGAACAGAAACAAAACTTGAACGATGCGGCTATAGAGCCTTCATCAGCACTTACATAAATAAAACAATACCAGATAAATACTCAAAATCGCTTAGCTTAGTATCTCGAAGCGGCCAGGTCGATGTCTTGTCGTTAGACTGACTAGACACGTGGGACAGGAGAATAAATACCCCTGGTGAATTCCAGGGACCGTAATTAGTGTGTTTTAGATAAAACAGTGTGGGCAGTTCAATTCCCTAGGATTTTAAATAAAAATGTGTTGGCAGTTCAACCCTCTGTGTGTTAAAGTGCCCAGAGTGAAAATAAAGCGATTTTCAATCACCCTTGTATTTCAGGATCCCTGTTTGACCTAAAAGAGTTTCACCACCAGATCCTGAAAGTTGGCTACGTCCCTCTGAACATTCTTGAAGAAGTTGTTGATGACTGGATCAAATCCAAACTGACCTCTGACTCCTCAGTGACGTCAGATTACTTCAGTGACTTAACTAGCCCCAAGGGAGGACAGTCTGTCCTTGCAATGTCCTGGTGTTTGATCGTACTCTGTGTTATTGTATTTTTAAATGGAGAAGTAGGAATTGTTAGGTAGTAAGTAACTTTCGAAGTTTTATTTTTTATTTTTATTTTTTAAATCAAATTTCTTTGTATATATAACTTATTCACTGTGTAATTCTTTAATCACCTTTAATGCATTATATGTTTAAAATAGTGAATTCGTTTTCTTCTTCTTTCTCTTCCTTTTTCCGCCCCTGCTCATCTTCTTCTTTTCTTCTTCTTCTTCTTCTTCTTCTTCTTCTTCTTCTTCTTCTTCTTCTTCTTCTTCTTCTTCTTCTTCTTCTTCTTCTTCTTCTTCTTCTTCTTCTTGTAACTTATAAGGAGGTACTGTAGGAAACCCCAATAGTGAGACACAGTTGGTAGGCGATTGCAATTTTTTTGGAAAACTGCGGGGATGCGGTTTTATGGACTTAATGATAAGAATACCCTGGACCGATAAAAAGAGTAATGAAGATGTTTTTAAAAGAAACTGGCCCAAGAAGAGAACTGATTGCCCACATCAGAAAGAGACAATCTACATCTTTGATCATGTGATGAGAAGGAGAAAACTGAAGTACATCGTGACAGTAGGAAAGTTGGAGTGGAGAAGAGGCAGAGGGAGACCAAAAGAACAGATGCTGGACAGTTTGACATCATGGATTGGGGGATCATCTGTATCAGTGTTGATTGAAAGTACACAAGACAGAAGGTTGTGGATAGACATGACTACCAACGCCACACGGCATTGAGTTTAACAAGAAGATGGAGATTAAACAGGGTGTCTTGGATTTGTCCAGTTCG